TCTGAGACAAGCTGTGATTGTAGAGAAACGCCTTGCACAAGAATGCCTTTATCTAAAGCTCATGTGTCACCGACAGCAACATAAGGGTAGCCCTCCCTTGTGCAAACATGTATTTGAATATGGGTATGCATATGTGTTTGGAAATGTGTCTGTACATGTGCTCGCTACATTGAGCTTCCTATGCAGTTAACGTGGCCCACGATTGTCCTACATGTATGTAAGCATAACACAAAGCTGGGAGCCGTGGGACAGACTTTGATCGTTCTGGTAGATTCATGTATGCGGCAAATGCACTTGAACGTTAGTACAGTAGCAGTGTGGCAGGATGCAACGCGGAAATGATACGAACATTGTCTACTGTTCGTGGTCTTACCTATACATATATGATCAGCCGCAAATATTCTATTGCAATAATAACGTTGTTACAGTCTGTTTTCCGCAAACATTTCACGATAAATTTATGGATAAATTGTTAATTAATATCTTATTATTTAGAAAAGTTTATTAAACGACATCTAAGATGAGGAGTATAAAAATAGGTAAAGTTTGGGAATTTGTTTCACAGGTAACTGTTAAATGAAAAGTTTCAATTTTTTCAGAGGATATAAACGTAACTTTCAACTTTCTTCTGCAATTTTTAAATAGTAAAAATGTTACAAAACAAAGAAGTACCCGTTAAATCAGAATTTTTATTTCACTATCAGAACTACACATATGAGGAGAATTTTGGAAACTTTAGCATTTGAGTAGCTTCAATTAACTTAGCTTCATTTGCATAAAAAAAAATCTTAATTTTTTATATAACATTATAAGCATTGTAAAAAATCTTAACAAACAACATACATATCGTTAAATAAAATAGTTATATTACAATTATTTTTACAACACAGTCATTTAAGAAATAAAATTGCCAAAGTAGTCTGTGGTATATTAAATTCTACACGAACATAATGGATATCCTAATACCTATTAAAGGAAGTGTACATTCAAGTCTGCACTTAAGCTAGAGGAAAATTGTGTTATACCTTTAGCGATCTGGTCTCTGAACGTGTTTGTTGTATTAAACCGTTAATACAGTATATTCAACCTGAATAATATAATTTATATAAAAATCGTGTAAATATTAACGAACAAAATTATAATTATAATTCTACAAACTTTCCAGAATTAACAGGCTTGTTATACGTAAATCGTTATATTATGATCGTGTGATCATAGGAGGTAGATTGGTTGGTTTCATTGTCACTAAAGAGGAGTTGGCTCGAAATACAATTATGCAAGGATCCGTGTTAAGTTTTAAACCGATCTAGCCTTATACTTGGTGAAAGTTTATAACCTGCGCGAAAAGCTTCTTAATGGTAATGCGATATCTTGAGAGGGTAGAACAGGCATTAACTTTACTACTACAGGGGGCATAGGACTACAAAGGTTGGATCGAAGGACGATGGTGAAGGAGGAGAATAGTGGAAAGTGCATATACGTATAGAAGATAATGGTAACTATACGGCGCATGTTTTAACCTAACTTACGAACCACTCTACTGCACACTCAGTACTATTCTCTTAATTATCAAACTTTGAGACTTCCCCTAATTTGCATCCTTACTCCATGGTTAATCAAGTGAGAGGAAAGTACATGTGATATACTATGGAAACTATCTACGTTAATTTCGTATGAACGTCATTTCAAGTTAATAAGAAATTCAAATCGATTAAACTAATACAGTTAACGTAACGCCACGGTACATTTTCAGCATCGTTCAAACAAACCTACATTATATAAAGTAAATTCACGATAGTAATATTGATTAGTAAGTTTACTATTCTATTATCAATTTTTATATTATTTTTCATTGAGTTATTTTATTCGAAAATTGATCAATGAGTGACCACCCGATTAAATTGTAAAGTACACAGGGTATTGGATAACTGTTGGTAGAAAATTTATCTTGAAGAGCGATCACTTAACCTGATTGTTTTTCACAGGGACTTGTGCGTATCGTGTGTGTCGTGTGTGCATTTGTTAATTTCTTATGCGAGCAGGCTCGTGGACTGGCAAAGACATTAATCCTCTCCACTCGGAAATCTCATAGGGCGGGATTTGATATGCTCTTATGGATTTCTGCGAGTAGGCAGGTTTAATGTTTAATCTACGAATTTTCTTATAAAGTGTCGCCGGATAGTTTAAGGCGCCGAATATTATAGTTTTCTCTACTACTTGCACGAGGATGTGTGTCGTTTGTTTCGAGAACCACTGGGCTCCCCGTGTCTTCGTGTGACCTGTATTCTTCGGTGTAAGGAGGGTTGCTCGGCCACAGGGATATCTTTAATTGTTAATAACTAAAAAACGAAGCATCAAACGCAATTTTTTTATTCTTCATTTTCGTCTTATTTTGGCTTCTAGAATCACCCTTTAAATTTTTTTATCAACAATTGTCGAACACCCTGTATAGTTCTAAGCGCGACGAGGAAAAGTGTTGCGACGAAAGAGTATTCCCTCTTGAAGAATATTTCTCGCGGTGTTTCGCCGAGCTTCTGTTACATATACAATGCTTGGAGACTAAATAATGAAGAAACGTCGCGGAGAAATCAACATACATGAAACGGAAACTTAATATAGTGTTAATGAAATATACTATTTATTATATATTTTATTCAACAGATCGTTCATTATAGAACCTTTACTTTTCCCAAACACAATCGTAGTTTCAAGAAATTGATGAAATTTGTTTTTATCACATTTATCCCATCCATATGAACACCAATATGATTAAATATAATGCTCCTCATTTCTGTTTTTAATATGTCTAACAGATTCAGAAATGGTTCATGAAACATTTGGAAATAATTACAAAATTTGTATAGGATTATTAATTACATTGAAGAATATTTTATTGAGTTCACTCTCAACTCTACGTATTCTTAAAATTAGAAAATCCAATATCTTTTTTCATTTTTGTCTGTCAGCTGCTTCACATGGTAAAACATTGAAAATAATTCTCTCTTATGACGAACGCACGTTCGCTGAAGTTCGTTTAAAAATTTCATCAACGAAATGACGCCAGACACGCGTTGAAAATTACATGTTTCTTTGATTCGCCTCGCTTGTCTCAGGTGCGGCTAGCTTCAATGTACTAAAACAGTATTTGAATATCTTCATGAATAATAATACAGCGGCATAGTAACGCAATCGTTTACTTTTCGAGATATTCCTGGAAAATAACAACAAATATATGAAATAATACTTAAAAATGTTACGAAAGTATCTGAAATATTTACGTTAAATATTGTATCGTTTATGAAATGTCATTGTCGGAAATATGTTTAATTATTTAATTCTCTTTTATTTTTCAGGTCATTCACGGTGTTCACATAGAGCCAGCACACGAAGTAAAAAAACGTAGCATTAATCAGCCGGTTCGAATTCTGCTGTCATACGACGAAAGCGTCTACAGGTCAGTTTGCACTTTGTCAACTTCACGTTATTTATAATTTCGATATATTTTTCTTTACATGCCAGCTGTTTTGTAAAGTATTGTAATATTTTTTATATTACAAATTAATTTTTGAAAAGTCATATTGTAGATTTTCTCTTTTACTGTTACACATGTTACACCGTAACATTTGTTAATCTTTCTTCTTTCGTTTGTAAAGAAATTTTTTAAGTACTATACAACGTCATACACATACATATGGCACACTTGCGAATAAAAGTTTTTTGATACATTCGGATTTAGTTGTGATATTTTTTTTTTAAAGCAAACAATATTTTTTTACCATTTTAAAATCATTAGACCGATATTTCCAGTGAATTACACACTGCATAATGAATAGTAATATTGCAATGCATAATGCTACACAGATCATATTGCAATACATTTAAAATGGATTACACCCCAATTTTTCAAATTGACGCAAATATTTTTATTCAACTTTACTTTCAATTAAATCAATGTAAACGTATTGTTTTCATGATGGAAAACATTGTTACGAATGCTCTCTAAAATCGCGAAATAAACCGTGAATTCATGGTGACGTTGGAAGCATTTCAATTCAGAATCTTCGGTACACACATTTTTCATCACCGTTGAAATTTGGCGAAACTATACTTTTACCGATTTACACGAATATGTTTGAAATTAATTTGCGAAATGCATCCAATGTTTCATAAATTACGGCGAGACCAATTTTCATTTCAGCTGCCAAGAAGATGTCGCCGGTAATTAATCGTGTTTCCCCGTTACCGATAATTAATCCCCGCGTCGTTCGTGTTCAGACAATGAAAAAGAGGACAGAATTAATTAACCCATAAAGTCGAATTCATCGATTTTTACTCGTATTTGACCATTCGATGTACTCTCTCAGGAGATTGGCAATAGCGGTCCAATCGAATAGAAAGCGTTAAAATTTCCGTAGCAAGACAAAGCACTTATTGTTAGGCACCAGATGAGAACAGTCCACTGTCTGTGTGTAGATACAGGTTCGTTTCACAATTGATGCGGCCTTATTCAGTTTGCAAATCACTCATGACCGTGGATAATATTTGGCAAAGAATCGGACCTCGTTGCAATTGTTTTACGCCAAACGTTTATGTCTGCTCACAATAGGGTTCGAACATCGAATCGATGTAAACTTTTGCTTTCAGACTTTGTGAATTAATAATCACGATAGAAAATGTCAATTATCGCTTATGAATAGGAAAACGAAAAGGTATAAAAAGTTTAGTATTTTGTAGCGGTTACACTATTGCAAATACGTCTTTACCAGCACGTTTTCGAAAACTTTTTTCTCCTCTTTCGTACAAACTTTCTCTTTTCCGACTTCTTTAGATTTTCAGTTTGCGCTTCTTTTTTTTTTTGTCCTTCCACTTTCAAGGATCTTGCCTTCGAAGAGTGTAGCCTAGGAAGAACTCGTGCGGCGACCATGCTTGCACGAATGCGAATTACTCTGTTTACTACGAATTTTCCATTTCCAGTACTTTCTCTACTTCTGTCATCATCTACCTCTACTTAGGTCTTTCTGTCCTAACTTATATAAAAGCTCAGCAAATTTTTATGGCACACAGTTTTTTTTTCCTTTTTCAGTATTTTCTCTACTTAGGTCTTTCTGTCCTAACTTATATAGAAACCCAGCAAATTTTTATGGCACACAGTTTTTTCCCTTTTTCAGTATTTTTTGTACTCAGGTCTTTCTGTCCTAACTTATATAGAAACCCAGCAAATTTTCACGGCACACAGTTTTTCTCCTTTTTCAGTATTTTCTTTACTTTTGTCATCATCTAGCTCTACTTAGGTCTTTTTGTCCTAACACATACAAAAACCCAGGAAATTTTCACAACACAGTTTTCTTTCACCGCTGCTGAACTCATGTCGAATCGTTGCTCGATTGTTATACCGCCAATTAATACTTCGTCGAGTCGTACGACAACGTGAGAGGATTTTTTCAATGGTTTCTATAATTTCGACCCCAAAAAGAGAAGGCCATATGCGTCATATAGACAAAGAGGAGCTGGCAGAAGTGCCATGTGCGCAGTAGGCATACAAAAATTGCTATAATGAAGCTGCATGACGTGCTGTACATTCTTAACATCGTTTCTAATTTATTGTCGATGAAGAAACTTGCAAAGCTAGCATACAAATGGTATAAAACGGGGAATTACAGGCTACAGCGAAATTGTCCCCAAAGGTGTACGAGATAAAATGGAAATACCAATTGTCGCGTATGAATAGGAATACGAAAGAAAATAATCATGAGTGGGGGATACAAAGTTATGGGCTACAACGAAAATGTCCCCAGAGTTGTACAAGATAAAAGAGATCGAAAGCGCCTGCGTGGCTAGCGGGGCCACGAACGCTCGACGTACGCGGAGGGTTGCCGGCAAACATGTCACAGGCGCTTTTGGGCACCGAGATCCGGACGCAATTAACACTAGAACTACAAAACCCGTCAAAACGACGGATTTCGGATTTCTTACTTTAAATTATAGAAATTATGACTTTTGTCGAAATAATATGCCAACTTAGTTTCCATTCTAATTTCGAAGTTCTTTATATAGCCTTATCTAAATACACTAGAAGGAAAATAATTTACCACATTCAGCTCCGGTTGTTCTAGTGTTAAGATTCTCGCAAAAAAGGACTGACAACAGACATTAAAATGAAAGACTATAGAAGGTGAGAGATCTGTAAGTGCTGCAAAAAATTGAAAATGGCACCTACGTTCATTCTGAAGGAATCGAGAAACAGGATTCAGGCAACTCTAGCGACCTTATCTATACAGAAGTTTGCAGGCTCGTGTAAACTGTGACGTCAAGTCACCAAAAGGGTGTCTTGACAATCATTGAAGATTTTAGCGTATCTTATGAGCCACAAAAGGGGAGCAATCGCGTTTCTTGAAAGAATTTGTAAAAATGGTAACTAAAAAAAACGCAAGAAGACAAAGGCCAGATCGAGGAAGGGAATATGTCAATGTGTGTTTGGTGTGTTTGAAAAATCAAAGAATACAAGTGCAATGTACAGCTACTTTATTCACCGCAGCAAAACGGGGTCGCAAAGCGGAAAAATAGATCGTTACTCGAGATGTCAAGATGCATGTTGCTGGATACGAATCTTGGCAAAAGGTATTAGGGACAGGTAGTAAATACAACCAACTACGGACGAAACAGATTGCTCACAAAAGCAACAGAAAACAACCCCGTATGAATTATGGTATTCAAAAGAACCGGACATCGGGAATTTGCACATTTTTGACTGCGATGCTTATGTGCATATTCATGAAGAACGAGAAACAAAGGAGAACGTTGGACCATCAAGCTGAAAAACTCACTTTTGTTGATTATTCGGAAGCGCCAAAGGCATTTCGACTATGGAATAAAGAAACAAATCGGGTAAACGTTAGTCGTGATGTCATTTTTCTTGATAACAATTATTATATTGTAATTACAGACACTGTTGCGTTGCGAAAAATTGTTTAAAGGTTTCGAATAATTGCAACTTCCGTTATATACAATTTTATTCACTTCAATAGTCAACATCTAACCCTAAAATCTTTTTCTACAATTTGCAAGCCTATTGTACTGTTAAAAGACGAATGAATTGCCTCTTTCATTCAACGAATTCTGCTTGAATTATTCTTCAATTTCCTGGTAATATAAATATCGTACAGTAATGAAAATGGAAATTATGATAAAACCTCTCGTTCGAGGTCCTTTATTTTTTGATGCACTGTTGAGGTAGTTACACTGCTCGCCTACTTGCTAAAAGTCGATATCTCAAAATACATCAACAGTTTTTCAGAAAACTGCTGGATAAGTGTAATTTGAGAAATTGGTCCTAGATAACAAATTATTGAATTAAAACTGACGTAAACAAAAAGTTAAAACGTAGAATCGTTTCTTCTAATTTTTTATGGCTTGAATGCTGTGCTAATTAACCTGATTAACCTCATTAGCTTTAAAGAAATCGAAGTTCCATTGCCCCTTACTGATTGATTTAGCCTCCTGATCGAAACTAACTAATTCCAATTGTTCTGAGTGACTCCTGACTTTAACCTGAAGTTAAGAATTGTATTAACCGATGTTAAGGGTCTTACAGCTTCTTCCATCAAACTCTTGGAAGATTCTCGGTTGTAGATGAGAGCGCAACAAATTCACCAAAAACATTATGGTAGCTTCGTTGATATGTCTAGCAACAATGTCTAAAAGAAATTCATTTACCAGATATTAAGAAATATATAATGAATACAGAGTAGAGCTCTGACAATCCGGACTTCCGATTACTCTAAAAAACTCATTGTAATCCGAACTTGGTGTCGAAATTCGAGTCTGAGTACTTCAGTATCCAAACTTGTGTCCAAGTATTCAACTATTCAGATTCAGCTTTTCTTTATTTGCTCAAATATGAAGCTTTTCATACATAAACTTAGATTAACACTAATCGTACCGACACTTTATGTACACCTATTCTTACCGTAGGCGGTGAAATGACCGGACATGAAGTAATCATACTTTCCCGAAAGAAATACAGAGGTAATTGTCAATTGAATATAGGAAACAACGCAGAAAATAGTCTTCAGATAATAATAATAAAAAAAAAATGACATATTTACACTTTTATTTTTAACTAGAACGGGAAAAAACAGATGCACGGTTTTAAATCAGATTTCAAAACCGGGCGTGGTACGTTTACTGTTAGAGAAAGCAAGTTTACATAAAGGATTTAGATTAAAGGACGCGAAAATCAGCACGCAAGGAGACTCTTCTATATCCAAATCCTCCAGTCCGTAAGTTCGAGAAGCACTAAGAGCCCCAACACAAACCATTAAACCAGTTAAAAAAAAAAAAAAACGACAGTGTTTTGTTCAATTGCTAATTCATAAACCAGACGTGTAACCTCGATAGAATATTCCAAGTGATAATTTAATATTAAAGATCTACTGCGTCAACAAATGGAACCTG